CCCCCCCCCCCCAGTGAATAAGTAATTAGCCATGGATTTGGGGGGAAATGTTTATCTCTCTTAGCACTATTATGACAATGATTGCCCTTTTCTTCTTTTTTTGAGGAAGAATTCTACTAGCCAATTTATGTTACGAGCTTTAGTGCATGATCTCATGAAATCCTCACAGCAAACACGCATGGGCGGTGCCATCGGGACTTCCAGTTGTAGAGACCAGGAAATTGGAGGTTTAAAGTTAAATAGCATGTTCACGGCCCCACCGTTAATAAGGGGCAGAGCAGAGCAGCACTTGAACTCAAACCACCCTTAACTATTGCTCAATCCGTCAGCTCGGAGATGCCTTCCTGATCCTCATTCTTAGGGTGACCATATACTCTGGTTTGCCAGTGAGAGTCACAGTTTCCACCTGTTGTCACAGCATAATTACGTCCCCTTTCACACAGTCATCCTGTTCACTCCTCCCTCCTACACTAAGAGCCCCTCCGCCTCTGTCCTCTCCCAGCACCTGGGCACTCTGCCACTGTTAAACTCTCCGCAGTTTGGAGGTCATCTGTGCCCGTGACTGCCTCCCCAGGAGAGGGTGTGTTCCTGCAGGCAAGGGACTGCACAACCCGACGCATCACAGGCTTCCTAAGCACAGGGTCTTTCGCTAAGTACACACTCCATAGACGGCACATTTTACTGAACATGAAGTGACTGGATGCCAGCCCCAGCTCTAGCCCAGACAAAGGGGTTAGCTGCTGTTGTTATTCTTACCATGATCTTGCCATTTGTCTAGCCATCTGTCCTTTTGTCTGTCTGTCCACTTGCTCATTCTATACGATCATCTAATGTGCACAGCTCCACCCTGGATCAAGCTGTTTGTGAATGGTTTTCCTGTTGTTTTCAGAGGAGAGCTTTCTAACCAGCCCCAGCCCTCATCCTACCCAACCAGATTAGAACCTCCTCAAAGTCCTCTCAGGGCATCCTGATCTTTTCCTTTGCAGCACTTTTCATAATTATACTTAAATTTTATTTGGGTGCTGAACTAGAGCATTGATTAAAAGAAAAAGATGTGGTGCCTAATTTAAGTCAATTCTAGGGATCAGACAAATGCAGATTACAGCTTACTCTCTCAAGAGATTAATCATATCAAATATGGGTAACAATTAAAACAGAAAAAGAGAAATGGTGAATATGCTTTAGGTAGTTACTGAGCCAATCACTGTCAGAATAACCCGGTGAAGTGTTAAATTCTGTGCTACAGTTTCGAGTGGTGTTGAAATACACAGAGACCAAAGGGTTAAAGTGGTAAGAATGAGCTGGGCCTTATATTAGAACTCATTGTGGTTTAATGGGAAGGAAGAGAAACGGCATTTCTGATAAACAGCAAAGTCATGCTGCCAGAATAAATATGCTTGCCAGAACAAAATGCCAGAATAAGTTGTTCCAACTGAGGACAATTGAGGATAATTGTTACATGAGTTTCCATGGGGTAGGAAAATGCCATACTCACAAGGGCCTTTGCAGCTTTATATAAATGGATTTTAGAAGAGAGATTAAGTTTTGCTTTTTTTTAAAGTAACATTGAAGAACTCGATTTGTTATAAAAGCATAACAGAATGGTTAAATAATGAAGAAACTAATGTTAAAAATTCTACTTCAATTATAATGGGAATCCAGGAGGGGAATAATTCTGCCTGAGGCAATAACATGTTAAGTCCAGTTACAAGGAACTTATAGATGGAGCTGAGCAAGGAGAGACAGCTGGGTGTCCCACAATGGACTTGCAGGTGACTTAGCTTCAACTGGTTACATTAACATGTTGGATTGGCACACGCAGTATCTAGCCTTGATGTTTTCATTACATGAAATAACAGCGCTACATCTAAGCATTCAAAGGTGTTTACCAAATGAACCAAAATGTGGTTAATAAGATAGACATCCTCGTGTAACTATTTTATGGTTAATAAGGCAGATAGTCTGTTCAAACTTTTAACAATTTTTATCTCCTCATGTATATATATCAAATACATTTGTATTCAGTGGTAATTAAAGAACACCATTTTACTTTGTGGGTTAGGGCTAGATGATTTGACATTTATATGTTTAAAAAATAAAACTTACTTGGGCACTAACTGGTCCAAAATTATGTCCTGCAGAATCCGGCTGTTCCACATATAGTGTATAAAAATTGGGTCTAAAGGTAAAATTAAAACAGAAAAAGACATTATTGATTTGGAATAAACCTATAGGTTGGATTTGGGGAGTTTGTAAATCTAGAACTTTATGGCAGTTTTCCTCTCTTTTTCTCGCCTCCTTCTATTCATCCAGAGGTTCCAGCTGGCCCCATCAGGGATAGTCTCCACATGGGAGACTAAGTGTGGGTCTGACTCAGTAACAAAAATCTGTTTCGTTCTTGCCATTAAGACCTCTCTTGGGGCCCTGGCAGGGTAGCTAAGTTGGTTAGAGTGTTGTCCTGTTACAGCAAGGGTGCCAGTTCAGTCCACAATCAGGGCACATACAAGAATCAACCAAAGAAGGCATAAATAAGTGAAACAGCAAATCAACATCTCTCCCCCAACCCTGAATAAAAAAACCCAAAAGGCTTCTTTGTGTGCCTCGACCCTTTATGTTTTTTGCTGCCTCAGTTCTGCCATTCTAGCTTTCCCTTTAAATGCCTGGCTCCTGCTGCACTGATGACCTGGAGCTCTCTTCCAGGATGCTCTGACTCCAGCCTGTTGCCATGGCGCTGCTCTGGCGCTGCTGGCATCTTGAGCCAGGCCTCAGACCTGAGTTTCAGATCCACTCTCAGCTCTGCTCTCAGCCCAGGTCTGGTCCTGTGATATTTGCCTCTATTCTCTCTCTATTGTCCCATAGTGTCAACTACATTCTCAAGAGCTACAAGTCAAGTGCACTTGGGAATAATTCTTTAAAAATGCCAATTAAACGGCAATATCAAGTTTCTTTTTAAAAAATGGTCATTCAAAGTAAAGAAATAATTTCATTTTATACCCACGAATATCCCACTGTGCCAGAACTTCTGATACTACCTTTCATCTTTGGGTAGGTCCAGCCATTTCAACAGTGTAAAGATCCTCTGTTCATATGGGACGCTGCTGCAAAGTGGAGTAAATAATGGTTTTAATTAATCAAATAAAAAATAATTCCATTAGATTAGATTCTCACTGAGAAAGGCAGGTGGATATTTTTGGATATCCACTTTGTGTTCAAATATGATCAAAATACTGAAAGGAGTTCAGTATTACTTAAAAGGATTCCTGTTTTCAATACTCATATAGAGATACACTTGCCTCACTAGAAATTAAATATAGTTTCCTTCCCTTCTCATCTTTGTCTCCTTCAATTTTCCCAACTAAAATAAAAATACCAAGAATTATTATCCATTCATTTATTTATTTTTTTATTTCTTTCATTCATGTGTGCACTTATAGAGGAAACTCTTAGTGCCAAACACTATTTGTTGATTTTGAACAGAATTGGTCAGTGAGCAAACCAAAGACACCCTTGTTCCTGAAGATTACATTCTCTTGAAGGAAGACCAAATAATGAACAATAAACCTAATACATAAATCATAGTGTGCTAAAAATAAAATGCTGTGAAAAACAAGAGAGACAAGCAGAGAAAGGGACACTGAGAAAGCGGGGTGAGGGGGTTGGGATTCAAAATCTTAGTGCAATCAGGCTAAGAGGAAATTGAGAAGGTAATTTTTGAGCAATGCCCTGAAGGAGGTGAGAGTACAGGCTGTGCAGGTACAAGGAGTGAGATTATCTCAGACAGAGAACAGCCAGCTCAGAGGCCCAATAGTAGAAGCAAGCCTGGAGTGCTGAGGCCCACTAAGGTCAGTGTGGCTCCAGCAGAGTGAGCACGCAGGGAAGGAATGAGAGAGGAGATCTGAGAGGTAGGGGTGGGGGACACTGGGGGTCATACTATGTAGAGACTTGTAGGCTTTTACTGTGAGTGAAGCTGGGCCATTGAAGTTTTCAGAGCAAAGGAGTATCATAATTGGACCTATGTTTCTTTGTGTGTGCTTTTTTTAAGTAATCATCCTGGCTGGTAGGTTGAGAATAGATTGTAGGGAACAAGAATAGAAGTAGGGAGATATATAAAGAGACCGCTAAAGTAATAAAGGCAAAAGACGATGGTAGCTCAAACCAGTGTTAATGCTGGAGGTAACAGAATGTTCTCAGTGCATATTTTGAATTAGAGTGACAAGCATTTGCTGACAGACTGGATGAGGGATGTAAGAGAAGGAATCAATGATGACTTCAAGATTTTGGGTCCCAAAATTGGAAGAATAGAATTACCATCAAGGTTAAAACCAAAAAAAAGAAGAAAAAATTCTAATCATTCTTGTCTAGATGGAGTTATATCTGCAAGTGCTTCATTACCGGTTGTAAGTCTGATATATGTCAGGAAAGGAGCCATTTATAAACACGTCTGATCCTGGCCAAAAGTAGGAAGCAGCTTTTAAGCCTTGATACCTTGCTGTCAGCCAAATCTTTAAGAGAAAAGTTAAGTTGAAGTCAAGGGAATAATCAGTTTGGGTAGAAATGGAGCCACATATTAGAAACTAAATGATATTAATAGTCTCAAAATTTATTCAATTATTAAAATGTATTTAAATTATTAAGAAATTATCTTTGTAACAGTTAAAAAATATATCATTATCCAGGGATCCACCTGAAAAATAAAAAATGAAGTGGTAAGAAAGAAAATCTTTTATTTTAAATTGGTAAATTACAGTTTTCCTTTCCTTTTTAAAGAATTATAAAACAGAAAAAGGGAAAAAAAGATCATCTTTCTAAGTAACTTCCAGATTGATATCCAAAATTCAACAGAAGGTCATTTAAGTGAATAATCATAAAGGCTATGAATAGTGGTTGAATACCTTCCCACCCCCAGTCCTCAGAACTAGAAAGATAAGGTAAAGCTCAAAGTAGAGAGAGAAGAGGGGCCCACTGTCTCAGTGGGATATGGAGGTTACTTTGGTGCCATAAGTGGAATGCTACGTACTGGTTGCCCTTGCCACCAGGCTGGATTATCTTTCTCCTTTGAAGAAAGTGAAAAATTCTTGTTGAGGTTTACATCATACATATTATTGTCAATGATGCCATGTGATTCTGGATATAAGCCCTAAAATAATAATTTCAAAAAAAGATTTAAGATAAAATAACATATTAATAAAACATTTAAATTGAAATAGCATAAGATCTATAATCATATCTTGGAAGAATGTCATATACACTTCAATGTAAAACCCCGGAATCTGAATCCAAATACCTAGTTCTACCATGGCCTATAGCAGCAAGTGAATGATATTAGGTAAATGGTTTGTGTTGATGATTTTAATATAACCCTTGTGAGATTAAAAACTATTTGTTAATTAAGGTTCCCTGTATTACAGTAAGGACTAGCCACTGGTTATGTCAGCAGTAATGTCACAAAATTTACTACATAGAAGCTTTTAAGTATCAAATTTCCTAGCAAAATAGATTAAAGTGTGTCACCAGCATATTAAAAGGGAGCCTGCCAAGTCACTACCCATCTTCCCTCAATCTAATCATTCCTTCAATCCAGCCACAAATATTCATTCAATCATTCCACACACTTTCATTGAATGTCTATGAAATCCCATGCACTTGTAATAACTTTCAGGTATTTCAGAATATATATATACATATGAATACATATATTCAGTCAATCAGTAGCAGTTATAATTATATAATTTCTTATTTATATATACATACTTATATAAATTGCATCTTATATATGAATTTTTATGTTTTTATGTACACATAGGGTGAATTCTTGTTATTCATAGTATATACAGTTGTTGCCAACACCAAATAACTGCACCAAATAACTCTCTAAGGAGACTACAGGGTTAGGCTCCTGTGAGCCTCTGATCGCGACAGTTTTGTCTACTGACCAATAAATAATCTTGTTTTATGTGTATTTCTGTTTAAAAATACATTATTTAATGAATATTGTTGGTTCACAATAACTCATGCCTGAAAGAAGCATATTGAACACACACATTTTCTCTGTAAGACGCATCACAGCCTTCTTGCTCTTAGGAACCCTAGACAGCATTTTAGCACTACACTTGAAGGGCATTTTAAACAGGAAAATCACCAACAAAAAGCACAAACATACAAAATGCATGGCACTAAACAGACAATAGACTATAAGAACAATGTTTACAATATGAGAGCTAAAACAAGAAGACAGAGTGGCGCCTTGCTAGACCTCATCTGGGAACATGTGAGTTGGGTAACGCGAATTGTTTGCTGCTCTATGAATATTTTCAAATGACTATGACCATATCACAAGCATTGATTTTGAAGTACAAATAAATTTTAGCAAGTAGGTGAATCTGCAAATGCATAACATATATGTATATGTGTGTGTATTTATACATATAGATACACACACATACACATATATCTAATTATTTAAGGGTTTAAATTTAAGTAAGTTATACTCTACAGCAATAACAGACTAAATACAAAGTTGTAAAGACACAGTTATGGCTTTGGCAATAAAGGCTGAGGCAGAGGCCTCCTTAAAAAGTTCTAAACCTACAAATGTTAAATAACTTCATTTTCCTTTGAGTTCATTTTGATCATTTCACTTATGTCTTTTCATACATTGAGGAGAATTTACTTGCTTTATTTAAAGAGATATAGCCAGTATCAATTCACTTATGAAACAATGACTTCATCAAGTTAAATATAATGAAAAGACTGGGACAGAAAGAAATTCCCCACATCAAAGTGGCTGTCCTTATTCGTAGCCTACCATTCCCAGCGGACCTTCAGATAAGTGAGGCTAATCAAAAGATCAGAGGAGAATGGTATTTCTCACACCCAAGAGGCTACCTGGCCTATGAAAATGGTGAATTAACCTATTGCCTGGACACTCATTCATATTTATCACTTCACAGCAACACACTGGCCCCATACTGACCCTTTCAAGCCTGAATTAAGCCATGAACTATCACCACATGTGTTTGTAAAATGTGTGCCATGGCTCCTCCATCCAGTTCCTGCCTAAATATGTTTGGTAGTGTGGTTAGTTGCCTGTCTGTGGCCTGTCAGCCTTCCATAGGGCCAAGTACTTACCGTGACAATGGTATAATGATTTGGAAAGGTCTTGGTTGGATAGACAGATCTCAGGTATTTTGAATGAATTCCACACATTTCTGCAACAAAGTATAGTGAGAAATTAAGAAGTTGTTACTCCTTAGAAGTTTTTTGGGTAACTAAAAATCTGGACATAAGCTTCCCAGAGAAATAGAAAACTAACTAAAGAATGGGTTGAAGATGGAAAGAGGTTGAAATTCTGAAGCCTGGAATTCCTCAATTCCTAGGAATGACAGTTTTTAGAAGAGGGCTGAGCTAAGTCAAGGGACAGCAAAATAATTTTTCTATAAAGAGCAAGATAATAAATATGTTAGGCTTTGCAAGTCCCTACGATCTGTTGCAACAATTCAAGCTCTGCTCTTGAGACCCAAAAGCATCCATGGACAATGTATAAACAAATAAGCGTGGCTGTGTTCCAACAAAACTTTCTTTATGGTTATTGAAATTTGAATCTCACATAATTTTTATGTGTCATAAAATGTTCTCTTCTTTTTTCCTAACCATTTAAGAATATAAAACAATGCTTAGCATTTAGAGGATCATACAAAACTAGGCAGAATAAGCTGGATTTGGACCATGGGCCACGGCTTGCTAAGCCCTGAGCTAAACATACCCTATATTATACTCAGTCAGCTTTATGTGCTTTTGCTGTTCACCCACTTTCTGACCCAAGCCACTACATTAGAATTTTTATATAACATTTGCATCTCAGCTAATAGTTCTTATATGTAAAGTATCCAATATAACAGAAGTCAACACAACTACTACATAACTAAAAAGGAATTTTATTTGTGTAAATGCATAAGCCCACGTCATGTAGTAATGTTTACAAAATGAGCTAATTTTGCTGCTTATTATTTTCCGCAGTTTCCATTTGATGAGTGAAGTTTCCTGTAATTTGTTTTCCACAAAGCATGGCATAAATTTTGCTTTCAATTGTTCTCTTGTTTTCTGTCTGTACAATCATCTGCTTAAGGAAGTCAGAACCATTAGAGCATTGATATTTCCTCTGCAGCAGCAAAGTACAAGAACTTTTTCATCCTAAAACCCTGTCCACTCTAATTCTAAAAGAAAGCCTCACCGTTATAGGTTCTATTTAGTTTAAACCAAAAACTGAAAATGATTGTTGTCCAGTAAGTAACAAACTTTGCAGCTTGAAATAACAAATGTTTTCTCAAATACATTTGGAGTTAGTCTCCTTTCCAGCCTCTAGTTCAGTGTTTCTAATATGACCCAGGAATTTCCTCTTTCAGAACCTTCTTGAGATCCATATCAAGTCTATTAAATAGGACTTTGGTGGGGATGAGGGGCTGGGTGGAAAGTGAAGAAAAGGGAGATCAAAACCAAAAAATCTACATTTTTAACAGCATTCGAGTGGTTCTGATGTACTTAAGTTTGAGGCCTGCTCTAGGAACAGACTCATAGGTCTAATTAAAGATTAAAATACTTTTAAGTCAGTGCTGCCAATAAATGAACCTGTCCTCAGTCAGGGAAAGATGTATTTAATATTGTTAAGATGTCATATGATAAGGAAATGAAATAAAATATAATCCACTTATAACTAAAAGAATTTAAGTGGGGGGAAAAAAATCACACAGTAAACAGAGAGATAAAGCCAGTTTCTGTTTTTATTTCCTTCAACCATGAATGACACAGGAAAATTCTTAAATGCATAAAGATACAGAGAATTAAATAAAATACAAACTAAACTATAGGTATTGTGAAAATATGACACCTCCCTAGTTCAAATGTCTTAAACAGACACACCTACTATCTACAGACTCAGATGACAATTTTGGGTCACCTGCCTTTGAACCAGAGCTATTATAGACCAATTCACAGAAAACAAGATCTTCTACCATTGTTTTCCCAGATGTTAGGGATCTAAATTATGGCTGAATAGAATAATTCTGAAAGGACACACAATAAATTGATTAGAGTAGTTGCCTCTGCAGAGAAAAACCAGGAATATCAATAAAAAAAAAAGGACGTTTTTTATTGTTGTTGGTTGGTTGTTTTTTACTATAGACTCTTTAATGTGTCTAGTTTGCATAGTTTACTGCTTAAGAAAACATTTTTTAAAGTTCCAGTCAAAAAATTTTGAAAATATAAATGGGATAAATATATATCCATAGTAACTATGAACTATAAGAAGGAGCAGAAGACTAAATGGATGAATAGGTAAAACAGCTAAAGACTGTACAGATATTGCAAAAGTAGTACCAGGGAGCAAGTTTATAGTAATAAACACCTACATCAAAAAAGAAATTTCAAATAACCTAATTTTGCACCTCAAAAAAATAGAAAAGAAAAACAAAGTACAGTTAGCAGAAGAAAAAAAAATAAAGATTATAGCAGAAATAAAATAGAGAATCAAAAACAAAAAATAGATATAAAACTTTATGAACTGAAATTTATTTTCTCAGTAAAATCAGAAAAGAGGAGACATTACAACAAATACCCAGAAATAAAAAGGATTATAAGAGAATACTATGAACAATTATACTTCACAAACTGGATAACCTGGAAGAGAAGAACTTCTAGAAACAACAACTTACCAAAACTGATTCATAAAGAAATAGAAAATTTGAACAGACCTGTAACTAGTAAGGAAATTTAATCAGTAATAAAAACCTTCCAACAACAACAAAAGCACAGGACCAGAGGGTTTTCTCACTGGCAAATTCTACCAAATATTTAAAGAATTAATGCCAATGATTTTCAAACTCTCTCAAAAAACTGAAGTGGAGATACTTCCAAACTCATTTTATGAAGTCAGCATTACTCTGATACCAAAGCCAGAAAAAGACACCATAAGAAAACTACAGGCCAATATCCCCAATAAACATAGACACTAAAATCTTCAACAAAATGCTAGCAAACTGGATTCATCATCACATTAAAAAAATCATATACGGTGACTAAGTGGAATTTATCCCTGGGATGCAAAAAAGCTTCTGCAAAGCAAAGGAAACCATCAGACTGAAAAGGAAACCTATAGAATGAGATAAAATATTTGCAAACCATGTATTTGATAAGGCATTAGTTTCTAAAATATATAATGAACTTTTACAACTCAAAAGAAAACAACAAATAACCCAATTTTAAAATGGGCTAAGACTTGAATAGGTATTTTTCCAAAGACACAAACAGCCTACAGGTATATAAAAGATGGTCAATGTCACTAAACATCAGGGAAATACAAATCAGTACCACAATGAGATATTACCACCCACTTATTAGGATGGCAATTATAAAGAAAGAAAAAAAGAGGAATGTTTTTTGGATAAATGTGGAGAATTTTGGTGAAGATATGAAGAAGTTACAACCTTTGTACACTATTGATAAGAACACAAAATAGTGCAGTCACTGTGGAAAAATGTGAAGTTTCCTGTAATAAAAATATAGCTACCATATGATCCAGCAATCCCACTTCTGGGTATTTATCCAAAAGAATTGAGGTCAGGATCTCAGAAAAATATTAAGATTCCTATGCTCAATGTAGCATTATTCATAATAGCTCAGGTATGGAAACACCCTATAAATGTTCATCAACAGAAAAATGATTATCAAATAAACAAAAAATGGGTTTTTATAAAAAGTATATATANGCTTTAAAAAAGAAAATCCTACAATAAGCAACCACATATATGAAACTTGAGGAAGTGAAATAAGCCTGTCCCAGAAAGACAAATACTGCATGATATTGCATATATTAGGTATCTAAAAGAGTCAAACTCATAGAAGCAAACAACAGAATAATAGTTGGCAGGGGCTAGAGGGAAAAGCAAATGGACAGCTGCTAATCAGGGAGCATAAAATTTAGGTTACACGAGATGTATACATTCTAGAGATCTGCTGTACAACATTATGCCTATGCTACATTGGACACTTAAAATCTGTTAAGTGGGTAGATCTCATATTAAGTGTTGTTACCACAATAAGAATTTTATTTTATTTTATTTTTTTAAATATATCTTTATTGATTTCAGAGAGCGGAAAGGAGAGGCAGAGAGAGAGATAGAAACATCAATGATGAGAGAGTCATTGATCAAGCCCGCAACCCGGGCATGTGCCCTCACCAGGAATCGAACCCCGATTGCCTGGATCCCAGGTAGACGCTCAACCGCTGAGCCACGCCCGGCTAGGCCACAATAAGAATTTTTTAAAAATAAAGAAGAGAAGGAAGAAGAAGAGCAGAAGGCAGACAGCAAATGGCATCTGCTGTGGAGAATTTAAGTGTCTACTGTTCATGAATGTCAACCTCGCTAACCCTAATCTTCAAAACTCTGCATATGTTACCTGCCAGATCTACTTGTTACTACTAGTCTTGTTCTATCCCTGGTTTCCTACCTGACTTTCCAGGAAGCCTGGCTGCCAGTTCAAGCCAAATCACTTCTATCCCACCTGACATCTGGGGCTGGCCCTTTGTTTCCACTCACCCTGAGACAAGACAATGACCTGGCCTTCTCACTAGAGTTGAATCCTGAGAGTTCCCTTGGTAGCCAGTGATATGACTCTCTGAGCTGTGGTATTAGTTCATGCTCAGTTTCCACAACCACTGTAGCCAAACTGAACCCAGGCAGCTTAGTGAGGCACTAGAGATGGGGTTCTAGACTTCCTTAAAGTGATGCCTGCTGTCACGTAACTGACCTCAAGCCTACCATTCCAGGGAGGTCCTAATTCTACTCTTTAACCACCTCTGCTCTTAATTGGACCTCCTAGAAAAAGCCCATTTTGCCTTAGTTGACCTAGATAGTGATGTCTTCACAAAGGATATTGTCTGGTTGACTTAAAAAATATTTTAAACCTTAAGGGTAAGGTCTCAATGGCCCAATATTTCATTAGCATTATTTCCAATTCTCAATGGCAGGAGAAAATAAAATAATTCCACTTCAAAGAGGTTCAGTTCAGCCTAGCTAGTTAAATTCTCCTTTGGACACAGAATTTGATATGTAGATTATTAAGGGAGAGTCAGATAAGAAAATAGAAACTGAGAGGTATTAACTAATTTTTCAGGCCAAAGTAACTCAGCAATATGTGATCAGTACTGAATTTTGAGCTAGTTCTACTGGAGCCCCAAACTCTTAATCTCTTTGCTAAAGATCTGTCTCAGAGAGTGAGAAGCTGAGGAGACAAAATACCTTGTATTGTAGGGGAAGTAGTTTATCTGTCTACAATCATAATTTTAGAGCTGGAATTAGCAGTAGAAATCATGAGATCTAATTCTCTCATTTTACAAATGAGGAAACTGAGGCCCAGAAAGGATAACTGACTTACCCAGGGTCAAACAGGAATTTTTAAATTTGGAGAATAAAAAAACAGGAAACCAGTAAAATCATAATAAAATTTGAGGACCTTAGAAGTAAAAAAAAAAGGGGGGGGCGGGGCTGGTAGAAGGAGGAAGAAAGAAAGACAGGAATTAGAAAGCAGTGACTAATATAGACCCTGGAGCCAACCCTCTGATACTTCTTAACTCTGTGTCTTTGGTATCCAATTCCTCTTTACTATTAGCTTTATACTGTATGAAGACCAAGTGCCCTAACACAGAAGTATAATATCATAATAAAGACTATAAAAATGGTTATAGTAGGAAGTTAAAATCATCCAATGTACACTACGGATATATTCTCACAGCATTCCTATCAGGCTGAAAGTGACCATTTTATATATGAAGAGACGATGGCACCAATAGGTGAGACAAATTGCCCCGTCATCTCACACCTAGTAAATGGTAGAGCCAGGTTCCAGGTACTTTGATTCCAGAACTAGACATAGATACTAGACTATTCACTTACTGAAGTATTGGTATGTGCTGGCTCTGTCTAGTCCACTCAGGCTTCTTCAGGATCCTGTTTTTGCTGGTCATATCTACCTTGCTGAGACTCAGAACCCAGGCCTGACAAACACCAGTTTTGAGACAATATACATGAACAGATTTTCATAGAGCAGAAGATATATTCAAAATATAAGACAAATCAAAATTAAAAAAGAGATGAACATGCTACCAAAAAAGGAAGAAGGGGCCAGCAAGGATGAAAATAGATATCATGTAGTAAAGTCATCAGGATCTTGAGAGCACCTAGACTAAGGCAAACCACTAATGTTAAAAGTCAGAAAGAGCTGTGCACCATCTAAAGACTGACTAACTAGGTGTCCCTATCATTCACTTGCCTCCGGTTGTAGAAGACTTACTCATTTTATCAATATTAGGCATCAGAGTGCTCCATGTCTGCAAGTATTCAGCTCTAAATCCATCCATGGAAAACAAAATAACTGGTGGCAAGTCAAATCTAAAAATGGAAACAAAAAAGTTCATTCTTTTGAGTCTTAAAAAAAGATACTTTTCTGTACTACTTACAATTCTCCAAACTAAGAAATTCTTAGAAAAAAAAATAGTTCTAGGTCAAGTTTTCCTCTCTATTTTTTTTTTAATTGTTATTCTCCTTAATAATCAATACTTCCAGTATTTCAGTAATCTAATAAAATGGACTATATTTTTTAAAAAACACAAGTATTACATAAATTATGTGGGACTTTCAATTTTGAGATCTACTACTCTGAGTTCTGGAGTTTAAATAAGTTTGGCTAACTTTATTTCCATACATACATAAAGATAACAAAAAATGGAGGGAGGGAGTGGGTAGGGGTGGAAAAGTGTAGGTACAGGGGGAATAAATGGTGATGGGAAAAAATATATATATATATTTTAAAACACAAGAGAACATATGGTATGATTCCACCTATATAAAATTTAAGAATAGAAATCTATAGTGATAGAAATCAGAACATGAAGCATCTTTCTGGGGTGATGCAAATATTCTATATTTTGGAAATATTCTGTATCTGTGGGTTACACAGACTTCTGAAATTCCAAATTTCATAATACTGTACACATAAGTGAGCATTTCAATGCCTATGAATTATACCTCAAAAGTAAAAATGGAAAATTGGGACTGTTTTAACTACAATGTACAGAAAATTCATCAAGAAATTAAAGTGGTGTGTTGCAATCTGCACTGGAAAATACTTATTTTTATAAAGTTGTTAGTATGATGCTAATTTAAAAATTTATGTTTATAAATAAGCCATCAAAATAACATTGCAGCTCAAAAACAGGGTCAAATGCCTATGAGGTCAAGATGGTGATTTATAGTGGAGGGACTGAGCAAAAGGGTGTGGGGGGAAGAGAGAGAAAACTCATGGACATGGGTAAGTGCGGTAATTTTGGGGGTGATGGGGATGGGTAGAGATGGTAGAGGGCATAAAAGATGATGGAAAAAGTAAAGTATATTTTAAAAGATGTTGATTTAATTCTATGAACAAAAAAAAGAAGCTATGTAATAAACCTGATGAGCTATGGGGTGGGGGTGGGGGGAGGAACACATAGCAGGCCTGACAAGCTCAGTGACCAAAGTATCCACACAGGGAGGTCTGATCACGAATTCCTAACTGGGCAGGTCTTATCAGGTAGTCACATTCCAGGCCTATAGCTTCCTTAGCAAAGGTCAGTCTTTAACTTAAGTGAACCCTGTCCACTGTTCTTAAGTATCTAGGATAAATACCTTTGAAATGTCAGAGTAATTTTCTTTCCTAGAACCCTGAAGGCACAACCACAAGCCCCAGAGCACGACAAGTGAAACTTGTTCCCGTGTACCATTGCTATGTGCTGTAAATGTTCATTATTAACTGCCCTGTACCCACCAATGTAAAAAAAGTATGTGTTTCTCCATTTTGCTTTTTATCCAAACCTCCTGCCTGCTTAATCTACCACCAATGGATTTCATGTAACCCTCCTTACATCTTCTCCTTCGATTCTAACGTATAAAATAAGCTGCAAAACTGCCATTCTCCAGAGTATTTTCTCAATCCATTGAGATTTTGCTTCCTGGCATGTCCTCAAACTTTTGGCTCAAATAAACTTATAAAACTTTTCTATAGGCTGGACATTATTTTTTTGGCAATTCTCACAGGAAATCTGCTGAACTAGAGTTTGAGTCATAAGAAATCCAACCTCATGTTAACTTTCTTGTTTTGAAATGTAAACAGAGCCGAGGAAATTCCATCCTGCCTCTCAGCTACCTTCCTATGTGCCACCTGTTGAAGAGGAAGAAAATGCCCCATGTAATTCTCACCCTTCTGGACACTGGGATGTCGGGGCTGTGTCGCACTTTTCTTTCACCCATGGGGTTTCTCCTGAAAAGCATAAGATCAAAATCTTTAGATTGCTGCGCCACAGACAAGAAAAGAGAAACAAATGTTCAATGGACATGATCTTTCCAAACTACAATTTGTGTTGCTCCAATGAGTAAATTCTTCCAGAACAGGTTAAGTGTTATTTTATATGTTGGCAAGGTCAGTGCTTCTGGTGATCTGCACAGATCAGAAATCTCCACTAACTGAATACCAGGAAGCCCACCTTTGCCAAGAAAAACAGAGGGGATTCCTTTTCTAGACCCCTGAAGAAATTTTGGGAGAGGTGTTGGGAGAAATAAAGAGTATATTTTGTTAAGAAAAATAATCCAAAACTTGAGCTTTAGAAAGGGACAATTTCTTTTCCTTTTTTAATAATGGTTTTAACCTCAAGGACAATATTTTTCCATTAGGAAAAAAATGAGCTTAATAAATACAGATATACAATTTTAAAAAGAGAGAAAAGAAATCATTAAAAAAAGAAATAGCCAATGGTAATAACTGCTATAAATTGGGGGAAACTGAACAATTTGTAAGAGCTTAACTTAAAATTTCTTATTCCAGCCCGGCCGGCATGGCTCAGCAACTGAGCGTTGACCTATAATCCAGGAGATCAAGGTTTGATTCCCAGCCGGGGCACATATTCAGGTTGTGGGCTCGATCCCCAGTGAGGGGTGTGCAGGAGGCAGCCGATCAATGACTCTCTCATCATTGATGTTTCTGTTTCTCTCTCCCTCTCCCTTCCTCTCTCTGAAATCAATAAAGACATATTAAAAAATAAAATAAAATAAACAATAAAAATTCTTATCCCATAGATGTTTCTGTTTATAGAACATTCCAGGTAATTGATAAAGAATAAATTATATAATATGAATGTCATCATTTGCAACCCCTATTGGATGTAGGCAATGACCATCAATAGCTAACATCTCCCGAAAAAGAGACAAGCAGACAAGATGTTCCTCTTCATGGGAGTAACACACCATTTATGAAATATACTTGCAAAATAGATAAACAAGTTGCACCAGAATCTGAAAAGTCTTCAGGTTCTAACTGCCAATTTGCAGGGAATATAGAGGATGACAAACTACCTATCACAGAGGATGCAATATGCAACACCCAGAATGGAAAACTCTACAAGACAAATGACGCAATTTCTCCAAAATGTAAATTGCAAGGGGGAAAAAAGAGAAAAGGAGAATCTACTTTTAAAGGACTTGAAATATATCAGCCAGTTTCTATCTGGATCATACTTCAGACAATCTTTTAAATAAGTATTAGAGACAATCAGAAAGTATTGAACACAATGGATATTTGATGGCAAATGATTATCAATTATATTTTAGATATGTTAATGTATTGTAATTTTGTTAAATTCTCATCTTTTTAAGATACACACTGAAAATATTTATAAATGAATGATATCAACTCTAGAATTTGCTTCAAAGTAATCTAAAATTTTGAGAGAGGCATTGAGAGAAATAAAGAGTATATTTTGTTAAGAAAAATAATCCAAAACTTGAAAATAGCCAAAAGAAGGACTGATCACTAAATTTCACTTCAATACCATGCTTGAAATTATCTAAAAAACCCACACATGAATTACCCAGTTACCTAGGAGTATATACCTTTATCTAGCTAATTCTTTACAATTTATTTTTCAACTCAATAAGGGTAGCAGTTAACTGATAGAAAACTAATAGCGATATAACTGATTCTTGCTTGATAGAACATTTTATTCCAACATTCAGTTTCATATTTACTTAGTCTCTTTGACTCTTTCTGAGCCAGCTTAACATCTTGGTTATCTCATTAATGGGTTAATAAATCTTTAACATATTCACTTTGCCTTCTCATGAGATTAGTGTTTTTATTTTTTTTGAAAATTACAGTGTCAGTGAGACACAATTAGCCAGAAGTTGATCTTTGCTGAAGCTAGGTGGTACACATATGGGAAAACATCATATTCTTCTCTCCTTTGTATGTTAGAAATTTATCACAAAGTTCTTAAAAATTCTAAATTTAAAAAGTGACCAGTTGTTTTCGTGTATAAAAATTATTAAAATCCCCTCAAATAACTGTCTGAAGATATAATTTTGGCAAGAACCCCTTAACATCTTTAAATATAATGTGTTAATCCCTAGAAAACATTTATTTTTGTTTAAAAAATAAAATGATTAACTCTATCAAACTACACAGTTAGTGTTAATGGCAAACTTCAACACTGCTTATAACAATTACTTTTGTTTCTGTGCAATTGTGTAATATTACACAATGAACTCAGTGGAAAAATTCACCACTTGACCCGAGGACTAATCTTGAGATAAAAGTTAAGAGTTACAAAGTTGGAGTGGAAGGCAGGAGATACAGAGCTCGGAGGCAATATGATCAGTGAACTTATTAGAGAAATAAGCAAACTAGAAACTACACTTGCTATTGTGAATTTAGAGAAATTTTTAATGATGCAATATCCACTATATCAAATACTATATCAAAATATCAAACAATTATTTTTTAAAAACAGAGTTCCCATTTCAGGCTTATATTTTCCTTTCTGGTTGCCCTTTTTAGCTGATTTTCAATTATATTTTATGTAAAAACTATTATTACAAACCCTATATTCTATTAAGGGATTATATAGTGAATGATTCTACTTCAACATTTTCCTCCTGTTTTAAAAAAATATCAGAATTCAACCTAATCTCTTTTTTACCTAAAAATATTAAAAGTGTGCCCGGCCGGGCGTGGCTCAGCGGTTGAGCGTCGACCTGGGATCCAGGTGATCAGGGTTCGATTCCCGATCAGGACACATGCCCGGTTGTGGGCTTGATCAATGACTCTCTCATCATTGATGTTTCTGTCTCTCTCTCTCCCTCCTTTCCTCTCTCTAAAATCAATAAAGATATATATAAAAAAAAAAAAATTTTTTAAAAAAACTTTAAAAAAATAAAAGTGTAAGTTAGCCCAGTTCTGTGTGGTGTTATGAAAAAAGAGTTTACAGCCTGAAGCAATTTTTTGCTATGGGTATATGTGCATTTTTGTAAATCTCATCAGATGTTCAAAGGTATTGGTGATTTTTTTTTTTAATTGCATCACTTATAAAGTGGCAAGCATGTGGAATCAGTAGTTGAATAACTTGGATTCCAATTTTGGCTTCACATTAACTCCTAAGGGTCCTAAATAAGTAGTTTAACCACTCAGGACACAGTTGTTTCAACAATAACATTGGTTTAACAAACTGACATTTGGGCCAAATAATCTCTTTCATGATGTTTTAACCATAGGATCTGCCATCTGGTGTCTTAAACCACAGGTGTGTCCAGCATAGTCACTGGACTGAAAAGGACCTTGCCTTACAGACACCCATGAAACTTGAAGCTTTCTTCCCTTCCCTATAATATCTATGCTATGAGCTCCCTTTCTCTGCAGTGCACAAACCACTTTTCTTTCCACAGTGAACACATTTTGTCTTTTTTTTCTATATGGAGTACTTCTTGACTTGCTTTCATTTTTGCAACCTAGGCCAGCTCTAGGGTCACTAAACTCACTGAGGAAAATGGATCAACATCCTCTGCTTACCTCGGCAGACACTCTTGTAGTCAGCACAGCAGTCCTTCTTCTGCAAACAGTCATCTGAGCAGGAGCAAAGGCTGGACTCTAGTCTGCTCTCCCCGCAGCGAAATTTATTGCACGTCCATATTCGAGCTATAAAATTATATAATTTGGTTCTGAGCATGTAATTTAAGTACCCATTTTCCTGCATTTCTCTCTGTATTATTGTACAGTCAAATTCTTGGTTTATCTGCATTAATAAATGAAAATTCATAATACAAATGATGGGCAGTCCACCACTTTTCTTCATTTGGTGTGGGTGGCAGAGAGAACTGCAGCTTTATAAGCTATAGCTCTGGTCTACTTAGATAAATCTCTGAATTTGGAGAAACTCTGAACAACAAAGGTAACAGGAACATAGTCAGGTCTGTAAGAATGCAGGCAAGTCAGGGGACCTCCTAGCTGAGAGTCACAGAAATGGCAGATCAGCTCTGTACCATGCCACCTGTGTTCTCTCAGGCTAAGCACTAACCTATGAGATAGTTTAAATAAATCCCAAGCTAAAAACAACAAGAAGGCTGGACTGAGGCTGCTTCCTAGTGACACCTGCCAGGACAAGTGACTAAAATCAATATCAATATCAGCTCTGTGCTTAGAAAAATATGTTGAATAGGTGACTGCTGTGGGCTTCCCTTAAGCATTGAGTTCTCCATTCTCCATTATTTAGAAAGAAAAGACTTTTGGAGATTAAGTGAAAGGAATACAAATCTTACCCTACTAAGTTATTCCTCCCTCTCTTACTCTTTTCAGAGAGCATACTGTAAGGAGTTCCACTGTTCTAATCTTCCCTCTCCTCAAACCGTTAGACCCCCCTCCGCCTTCCCTGATTTCTTAGAAAATTAAACATTGCAGGCCACTTCTTCCAGCTAGACAACAGTGTTTCTCAAATTGTGTTCTGTGGAGCACTGGCATCAGAACTGCCAAGAATCCCCAGCTTTCCAAGCAAGTCTTATGCACCCTGAGATTTGAGAATGACTATAAATGAAACTAAGCAAGATGAGTAACTTAAATCATAGCAAAACTCCAGTGAAACTTGTGCAGTTATACAGCAGTTCATCTGCTCACAATAGTTATTCCTCAGCCTCCTTTTACTAAGGTGTGGACTCTGTGCTTATCACTGTAAAGGGAGGAAGGATAATAATAGACCCGCATACAAGGTTGACTTGTGTCCATCCCCCAAAGAAAGTTGAAGTTCTAACCCCCATGACTATGAATGTGATCTCACTTAGAAAAGGATTGTTGTAGATAATCATGTTAAAATGAGGTCATTAGGGTGGGCCCTAATCTAGTATGTCTGATATTCATATAAAAAGGGGGAATTTGGACACAGAAACACACAGAGGGAAGACTGTGAAGACCCTGTGAAGACAGCGGCAGAGTTTTGAGTTAGGCATCCACAAGCCTAAAAATTCCAAAGATCGCCAGCAATTCTCAGAAGCTAGAACAGAGTCATGGAGCAAGTTCTCCTGCACAGCCTCCAGAAGGAACCAACCCTGCCAACCCATGGATCTTGGACTTCCAGCGTCCAGTACTGTGAGAAAATGAGTTTCTGTTGTTTAAACCACCCGCTTTGTGGTACTTTGTTATGGTAGCCCTAGAAAACTACTACACAAGGTGTATTGTGAGCATTTGGACTTGCTAATGATAGCACAACCAACACGATAATAAACTTATGCTCAGAATTCATACTTGATTCCACACAGGTGTCTTCAAAATCCCAGCAGCAGTCGCCTCGGTCTTTACATCCCTCATCACATCGGCAGCCATCCAGTGACTTGTATGAAGAATCAAAGCATTTTTTCCTGCAGCTGCCTGTAGAGTGAAGGAAATAAGGAAACCAATGCTTAAAAGTTATCCACTATCTCATAGCTAGACGGTGGAAGCACACAGAAGAAGTACTTAGCCCAAACTAAGACAGACAGACAAATAGCTAATTTTTATTGTATGATCTGCTAGAGAAGTGATAAATAATGAATAATTTCCCTCCAGGACTCCAGAGAGGTTTCAGACTCAGAGACACCAGGTACCATTGGGCGAGGGTAGGAAGAACAGGCAGACACTAAGTATAGAATTGACTAAAAGTCTGGATATGGAGCAGTAACTACATCCACCCCACCTCCCACTACAGAATAGAAGCATCATAATCCAGAAGAATTTAGAAGGAATACATTTCATCACAGAGACAGTAGATATAGAGGATGGCTATGATGAGAAAAGATGAACAAGCCCTATCTTTCAATGTGAACAGATGGTTACCAGACAGTTAATCATAGCAGAATACATCCACCATAAAAGACAAAGAACAAAACAAACAAGAAAACAGAAAAAGAAAAACTTGGTTAAAAAGGAAACAATGCAGAGAGCATAAGAGCTAAATACACACATATACACGCACACACAATTGATATTGAGAGTCTCAAAAAAGAGAAAATATTGCATCCATGACATAAGAAAGAAAGCTACAATTTTATTTTACTTTATTTTATTTTATTTTTTGAAAACTACAATTTTAAAAAGAAAAATAACATTCAGGGTGTTTTTGGAAATAAAAATGTGAGGGCAGTGATAAAAATTCAACAGAAAAGTGTGGCAGACAGAAATATTGGTCCTAAAATGATTTCATGCTTTAATTCCTAAGAACATGAATATGTTGCCTTACATAGCAAAGGGACTTTGCAGATGTGATTAAGGCTACTATTTAGTTGACCTTAAAACAAGGAGGTAGTGCCAAAAAATGAAAACAAAGAATAGGGAGATGATGTTATTAAAGAATCATATTATAAAATTTCCCAGAATGGAAAAGCATAAATTATTACCTCAAAATTGCCCACCAAATTTCCCAGGGCAAAAATCACACCAAGGGATCAATTGGAATAAAGAGATCTTGAAAGTTTCTAGAGAAAGTTTATGAGCAATTCATAAAGGACCACAAGTCAGAATGGCATCAAATTTCTTAAAAGCAACACTGGAAGCTAGAAGACAGGAAAGTAATGTCTAAAGGGAAATTATTTTCCTTCAAATGTCTAAAGGGAAATTATTTTCATCTTAGAATTCAATATCTATTCAAACTATCAAGTGTTAGGTTAGGGTGATGAAGATGTCTTAGATTGTCCAGAACTCAAGTTATATGTTGCATGCATCCTATTTTAGGAAGCTAATAAAGGATGTTCTTTAGCAAAATGAGGCAGCGAGAGAGATTTAAAAAAATATAATCTTATGATGGAAACACCAATCATAATACACCAAACAAACCAAGAGAGCAGCCAATACTAGAGCAGCAGGACAGAGAAACAAAAATAAAAAAATATCACTCTAGATCCAGCTTCACACTGCCAATAATAAGAGAGCCAGATAATTCCAAGGGTTGGTAAGGATGCATGGTGAAGGTAAGGTAGGCTAGAAAGCAGTCTTCTGGGACTACTTACCCAAATTAAAATGTAGACTCTTAAATCCAGGAATTCGATTCTTGAGTATATGACAAAAGAAACCTCACACAGGTCTAAAAGAACCTGAAGAATTTATGTAGAATTAAGAAACTAAAGTCAACCTGCATTTCCAGCACTGGGAGAAAGCATAGGTCTAATGGCATGTTGGATACATGTCAAAGAGTACTATGTAGTAAGTAGATAGATATGAACAGATGCACGCATAGAAATTTAGATGAATCTTTAGAAATGTTCAGTGAAAAAGTAAGAAAAAAAATTTTATGTACTATTTACATAAAAGGCCTTTACATTTTTACATTCACTCTCTTCCTTTGAAACATTTTCCATACTTGGTTTCCAGGACACAACAATTATGTGCCTTTCCTCCCACATTCTTGGCCACTTTTTCCTAGTCTTCTGTGCTTTCCCACCTCACATCGCCAATCCTTTAAAGTTTGCATACCCCAGTCACATTGCTTTAAGTCTCACATATGATGCTGATAACTACCACACTGTATGTCCACTCAAGATTTTCTCTCTAAAGCCAGCCTCATATATCCAACTATCTTCTTGACTTCTCTACCTGGACATATACTAGATACTTCCAATTTAACACATCCAAAACTGAGCTCCTAATTGTTCTCCCCAAACGAGTTTCTTCTACTGTTATCCCCAACTAATTATGAAAATGCCATATTTTTAGACGTTCATGCCAAAAATCTTGAAGTCATTCTTGAGTCCTCTCTTTCTCACTCCATATCCAGCCTGTCAATAATATCTTTCTACCACATAGCCAAGATCTGGAAACAGTCCAAGTGCCCATGAGTAGATGAGGGGATAAAAAAGCTGTGGGACATTTACACCATGGAATACTATGAGGCTGTAAAACAGAAAGGAACTCTTACCCTTTGCGACAACATGGATGAATGTGGAGATTATTATGCTAAGTGAAATAAACCAGTCAAAGAAAGACAAGTACCGTATGATATCACTTATATGTGTAATCTAATAAGCAAAATAAACTGACAAACAAAATAGAAACAGAGGCATGGATGCATAGAACAGACTGGCAGATGTCAGACAGTAGGAGGGTGGGAGGGACTAGATAAAAGAAGGTGAAGAAATTAGCCAAAGAACATACATGCGTAGCCCATGGACACAGACAACAGTGTGATGAAGGCCAGGGGAGGGTGGGGCAGAGGCTGGGTGGACGTAGGCAAAGAGGAGGAAAATGGGGGACATCTATAATAGTGTCAACAACAAAAAAGTATATATTCAGAATTCAACTGTATCTCATCGGTTACAATGCTATCCCCCTAGTCCAAGACATAAAGCTTGTCGTATTATTGCAATTATTTCCTAATTGGTCTCTCTACTTCTCATGGTTTCACTATGCCATTTATTAATGATATAGCAGCCTAAGTAACCATGTTGTAAAGCAAATCATAGCATATCATCCCTCTGCTCAAAACCTCCAGTCACCTCCCATCACACTCAAAATAAAAGCCAAAGACCATACTTTGACCTACCAAACCCTCTTTGACTGGGCTCTTCTTTGGCTGACCTCATTTCTCACTACCCTTCCTCTAGTCCTCTTGATTCTAGCTCAACGTTCTCCTTGTTATTCTTGAAATGGAATTTGCCAGGCAAGGTCCTGCTTCAGGCCTTTGTACTTGCTATTTTCTCTTCCCTGAAATGTTCTTTTACAAAATATCCTGGTTCTCCCTTGCTTCAGCTCTTTACTCAAAAGTTATTTCACATGCATGCCCTGACTCAAATTCATATTCCCTTTTACAGTTTTGTTTATTCCTTAGCACTTTCCCTATCATATTATATATATTTTACTTATTTTCATTTTTATTGTCTGTATCCCTTGCTGGAATATGAATTCTATGAAGAATTTTTGTTTTCTTTTTTACCACTGTATTAGAATTACATTAATTAGAATAGTATCTAGAATTCATTAATTAGAATAGGATCTAGCACAGAGTCAGTGCTCAATTGTTAAAGAATAAGTGAAAAGTATGTGCACATAAAACAATAAATTTGGTAGAACACATACAAACTCAAACTAGAAAAACTACTTTAAAAACTCATACCAGAAAACATATATGGGGGTGGGGAATGGAAGAGGGCACAGAGGGGATAAATGGTGATGAAAAAAATTAAATAAAAATTTTTTAAAAGAGAAAATATATCTTGCCCATAGAAAGTGGGTTGATCGGAGCAGGGAATGATGAAAATGGTCCAGAGTTGAGGATTAGGAGACAGTGTGGTGGAAGAATGAGAGATGAGTATGTTAAGGACACTGACAGAGGGGTTGGAGTTAAATACCAACGCCCTGTGTGGGAGGGAGATGGAAGGGATGCCACATAAGGGCTGATAGACTGAGATAAGAGGAAATTAATGAAACAATAACTCTGGGAAGCCCGCCAGTAGGTGTAGCACTAAAGGAGGGAAGAAGGTCAAAGAGCTGGGGATTTTGTTCAGAGATTAGTACATGCCTCTTGTCATTAAATTGTAACCTGTGGGATACAATAACCAAGAAATGATGCCCACCTGTGTGCACTAACGCCAGAATAATGCCGCTAAAATGACCTGCCAATGTTTGCTAGATCTAAGACTGGAACTGTAGTTCAGAAACACAACAGCCAAGTGACCAAGAAAAGACACTAGTTGGGCAGGTAATGTCCACCTCTTCAGTTCCACTGTGTTTCCATGTTACCCTAGGGACACTGGGTGTTTGTTAATTCTTAAGTGAAAACACAACTGGAAAATTGTCTGTTAACCTCACCAAGAGTCTCCCTCAAGAAGAAGTGATATGACTTTCCCCCCTGGAGTCAAACTAGAAGTTAATCAACCAAATTAAAAGGGGATAAATTATTTGACATCTGACCTCATACTTCCCCTTAGTAAAAGTACCAAAACAGTACATAACAAGATTATAGAAAGCATTTTTTTATATAGTCACTTGCAAATGATTTATTTACTGTTCATACTAATGATATATAGCAAGAGATGTGAGGTGTGTGGATATTTTGGGAATGTATCTCTTATTTTTTCTTTGCTTCTTCAGAAAAAAACTGTGAAGCTTTTGTTGTGCACTACATTTCAAGAACGTGGCACTGGAGGGGGAACAAGATGCGGCGTAGGTAACAGCTGCACCCGCAGCCTCCCGCAACCACATCAAAATCACAACTAAAACACAGAACCACCATCACTCAGAGCCTCCTGAAATCTGGCTGAACAGAAGCCCCACAACCAGGGAGCTGAAGCAGCACTGAGACCGGGAGGAGGGGAGGAGACGCCAGCTGACAGAGGCTGAATCGCGGAGACAGGGCCACGGGCCCACACCCAGTGTCGCAGGGTAAACTCAGGAGGGAATCTCGGCGGCGGAAGTTTCCCAAAGGAGGGAGGGGTCCCAGCCCCACAGCAGGCCCCCAGCCCAGGGCTCCAGGGCCAGGAAGAGACGTCCCCACAACTCCCAGCTGTGAAACCAGCGGGGACTGTCCCTGAGGGTCACAGAGGCTGCGGGAGCCCCAGCAGCTCCTCTTAAAGGGCCGCGCACGGACTCACTCGGACGCTCCCTCTGAGCCCAGCGC